CCCCTAAGGATTAGACTTATTTCAGAAAAAGCACCCCCTCACACACACACAGTCATTCCAGTGCAAACAGGACAGACTTATTTGATTTTCTGTTTAAAGCAGGGGTCCTCAAACTACGGCCCGCGGGCCACATGCAAATACAAATATTTTATTTGTTCCCGTTTTGCTTTTTTACTTCAAAATATGATATGTGCAGTGTGCATAGGAATTTGTTCATAGTTTTTTTTTTTAAACTATAGTCCGGCCCTCCAACGGTCTGAGGGACAGTGAACTGGCCCCCTGTTTAAAAAGTTTGAGGACCCCTGGTTTAAAGTAATGAACATAGCTAGTGTTTGTTGAGTGAACTGCCCCGCATCTGTTGCTGTGTTTCCTTTGTCTTGGCCGTGTCCTGAGACCTTCGTGGAAGAATGTTGAGGTGGGATCACAGGGGAGGGGTGTCCCCTCGAGTCACGGCTGACATGCTCCTGAAGGACCGTGGGTGAGTGAGGACGGTGGCAGTGGAGACCCTCTCTGACCTCTGCTCCTGCGTCCTTAACGGGACATGTGCCCGCAGCCCCCGCTGCTGCGCCCTTCTGACCTTTAGCCCCTTTTCTGGCTCATCGTCAGGATCCTTACAAAGGTTTTTGCTTTGACAAAGGTAGCACAGTCTGAGGGACCAATGTACCACTTTTTCATTTAAGCTCCCTGAGTGGGGGCAGGAAAATGGAGGACCAGTGAGGCCTAAAGGAGGAGGGAGAGATAAGAAAGGAGGGTGGGGAGGAGAAATGACAGGGTGGGGGTGAGAGGGCAGGAGATGGGGCAGCAGCGGAGGAGGGAGAGGTGAAACTGGGGACTTGCACTTGGATATTTGTGCCTTGAGAAGGGCAGGCAGGCCTGAAGTGGGAGGCAGATCCCAGCCTGGTGGGAGGGTTGGAGGAAGAATGCGAGATGCAGACAGCGGGAGGGTAAAGAATGGCACGGGGGTCTGAACGGGTCCTGCAGGCCTTAGCGCCAGGATTGGTTACGGGCACCTGATGAATGCCCGGCCTGGCCAGCTGAGGCCTGGCAGAGCTTGCAGCTTCCTGATCCAGTGCTTCTGGGCTGAACTGTCACCTCTCAAGATGTTGGTGGCGGCTGGGGGACTGAGGGAGACCGCTCGCTGACCCGATCGGTTCAGTGGTTTGCCTGGGGCAACTGCGGTCAGGCCCCAGAGCTTCCCGGGGTACCCGGCCTCCAGTGCTGAGTGGGGAGGGCGAGGTCCCCACTGGACACCACTCAGAAGAGTCTATACCAGCTCCTTGGTGTGGCTCATCAGCCCGGGCGCAGCTCAAGCTAATCAAGGCGTCCTCCGTCGGGCACTGCTCGTGCCAAGGGGGTTAAAAAAAGAACTACGTACTCACGCCCGATCCAAGGGCTGTTTGTGGGCAGTGCAGAAGTAATAAACCCAAACACAGGCCGGCCTTTTCAGCAGCGAGGTGGTACGCCCAGTGGGGCCAGATCCCGCCAGCTCCAAGTCAGCCTGGCGGTGGGGCTTGGCGGCCGCTTCCACCCCGCCCTCCAGGGCCATCCTCTTACCGGGCAGAGGTGAGTGGGCATGTTTTGTAGTCAACAGATCTGGTTTTCATGTAAAAGGCTTGCATGTCTGTGTTCCCAGCTGGGTCAGTCCTGTGAGTCTTTACCGGGGCCCCACGCTCTCCCCAGGAGGACCAGTGCCCACTGAGAGCCCGGCTGACCTCACGCTGCCCGGTACTCAGCGTCTGTCCCATCGTCGCACGAGAACTTGTTTCACAGGCGTGGCAATCAGGTCCAGGGGCTGAGTGACTCGCTGAGAGGGTGTACGACAGCTTCGGTGACGGTGATGGTGACGGAGAAGGCCAGCTGCTCTCTGCCCAGGCCCCGTGATACATCCTGGGATGGTGAATATGGTGTTAGTAGCACACGGCTAACATTTATCGGGTGTCTTCTCTGTGACACACAGGGTTGCACTTGATCTGGGAGGACTCTGTAGGCAGACCTGTCGTCCCTTTTGCAGGGTGAGTGACAGAGGAAGGGTCACGTCAGAGCCTGCATTCTTTCCACTGGGCCACACGCCGCCCAATGACCGTGCCATTGGAATGACCCTGTGGGGGGTGAATGGCTGGTGGGAAGGTGGGTGCCAGGACACCTCTGTTCTAGATCCTTCTTCCTTGCCGCCCAGCCCTCCTTGCCCTGTCTATCCCTGCCCCCATCCCTTTCCCAGTGTTGTTTTCTCCTCATTCGTTGACATTAGAAATAGTCTATTTCTGTATCAACAAATGAGGGAGACTTTAGCTGAGTTAACACTCATACCCAATGACTAGTTACCTATTAATATTAGCGTTGCAAGGCCCTGGCCCTGAAAACATTTTTGCTTCAGGTGAATAATGAGCTCCATTCCCTTCATGCTGAGTGATTAATTATGCAAACTGAATATGGTTGACGATCCTGTACGTCACTGGTGTGGTTCATTTTATGAAAGACCTAGTATTTCAGGGAAAATTTGCAGAGAGAAAGAAAAGGGAGGAAAGACGGAGCTGTGTGAGTGTGTGTGTGTGTGTGTGTGTGTGTGCGCAGGGGTGGGGTTTGGCTTAGCCTTAAAGTAAGAATGGACTTGAACTTGAACTTGATGCAGTTCAGATGTCCCCTGCTCCGGGTAGACCTGGGTACCTGTCCTCTCCTCCGATGGCCCCTCCTCTTTGACCTCCGTGGAAGAACGTAATGGCCAGGATATATGGCAGCTTGGCCATGTCCATGCCCTTCCTGGTCTGGGGCTTTCTCTTTTGTACTCCTGTTCCCTGACAGAGTGCTGGCACATAGTAGGTGCTCATTCAGTGTTTACTGAGATGACTTAATACACGAAAGCTTTGTGAGAGAGGGAGCTTGATGTCACTCTGCCTGCTGATTGCTCTAAGTAGCCCAGTCACTCCTGTCCTGATTTCTGTTGCCCATATGGACCTGGGTCCGTTTTAACTGCTAAAATGAACTAATTTGAATTTAGTTTGAACTAATGGGATGTATGCAAGTCACTGCCCATTTAGTTAATTGGTTTGTGTCATCAAATAAGCGTTTTAAGGGCCACTAAGCATTCTATTTGGCAGTTGGAGTACAAAGTTGAGAGAGAAGCGAAGGGTGTGGGCTTTGAAACCAGACCACTGGAGTGCAAGTCGCTTCTGGCTTTAGCTGGTTGTAGCCGGTGAAAGCACAGAGTCCTGACCTGGGTTTGGATCCTGGCTCCATCACTTTCAAGCTTTTGTGACTTGAGGTAAATTACTTAACCTTTCTGTGCCTCCCTTTCTTCTTCTTTAAAATGGGATGGCTTCATGGGGTTGTTGTGGGGTTAGAGCAGGGGTGGGCAAACTTTTTGACTCGAGGGCCACAATGGGTTCTTAAACTGGACCGGAGGGCCGGAACAAAAGCATGGATGGAGTGTTTGTGTGAACTAATATAAATTCAAAGTAAACATCATTACAGAAAAGGGTACGGTCTTTTTTTTTTTTTTTTTTTTTTTTTTTTAGTTTTATTCATTTCAAGCGGGCCGTAGTTTGCCCTCGGCTGGGTTAGAGTCTTTGTAGGATTAAACAGGTTAATATACGGAAAGCACTGAGTAGCATATTGATATTTGTTACTGTTGTTGTTTGCTGTTAATTAAACTTGATGCCCTCCTATGTCAAACCCGATGGATTTGGTACCTAAGTCTTCATAGAATTGTGGTTCAGATTATATTAGTTTCTGGTGACTGCCATAAGGAAATACCATAGATTGGATGGCTCAAAAGAATAGGAATTTGTTGTCTCACAGTTCTGAAGTCCAGAAGTCTGAAATCAAGGTGTATCAGCAGGGCTATGTTCCCTTGTGACCTGTGGGGGAATCCTTCTTGCCTCTTAGCCTCGTATTTGCCGGCAGTCTTTGGTGTCCCTTGGCTTGTAGACACATCATGCTAATCCTCTGTCACCATATGGTATTGTCTCTGCGTATCTGACTTCACATGGCCATCTTCTTTTTTTAAATCCTCATCTGAGCTTATTTTTTCCATTGATTTTATGTTTTTTTTTTAAGAGAGAGTAGAAGGGAGGGAGGTGGGGAGAGAATGGGAGAGAGAGAGGGAGAGAGAGAGAGAGAGATAAACATCAATGTGCGAGAGACACATTGATCTGTTGCCTCCTGCATGTGCCCCAACTGGGGTCCGGAATCAAACCTGCAACCCAGGTATATGCCCTTGACAGGGAATCAAACCTGTGACCCTTCTGTGTGCAGACTGACACTCTAACCACTGAAATACACAGGCCAGAGGGACATGGCCATCTTCTTGTAAGGACACCAGTCATACTGGATCAAGGGCCCAACCTCCTCCAGTATGACCTCATCTTAATTATATTTGCAGTGACTCTTTCCAAATAAGGTCACATTCTGAGTAATTAGGGGTTGGGACTTCATCATGTCTTTTTTTAGGAGGATGGAATGAGAGATTCCATGAGAAGCAAGGAGTATGGAACCAAGGACAAACAGTAAACATTAGCTGTGCCTGTTGGTATTGTTACCTGTCATCTTAATCACCGTGATCGCGATCGCCCTTTGCTGGGTGGTCCAGGTGGTTCTCTGGACATCTTTGAACCTCATGTTTTTGTTTGTTTGTTTGTTTTTGTAATTTTTTTTATTGTCTAAAGTTTTACATATGTCTCCTTTTTCCCCAACTGACACCCCCCCCCGCCCCCCCTCCCCCAGCCATTCCTACCCAGGGCAAGCCCCCACTGCCCCAGTGTCTTTGTCCATTAGTTATGCTAATATGCATATGCATGCATACAAGTCCTTTGATTGCTCTCTAACCCCCTCTCCCCCCTTGCCATTTGTCTCTGGATCCATTCTTGTTCATCAAATTATGTTGATCATTATAGCCCACATATGAGTGAGATCATGTGATATTTATCTTTCTCCGACTGGCTTATTTTGCTTAGCATTATGCTCTCCAGCTCCATCCATGCTGTTGCAAATGGTAAAAGTTCCTTCTTTTTTATAGGGCCTCATGTTTTAATTGTGTATTAAAATGGGAGGTTCCCCCGTATCACTGTGAATGGTGTGGCCCATCTCACAGCTTCTTAACCTCCTTGGTCTGCTGTCTCTGAAATGGGAGGAAGCAGGACCACCTCCTGGAGGGACCCCCTCCCGGGATGAAGTGAGGATGAGTGTGGACTGCAGGCTCAGACCTGATGCTTCTCCTGCTGGTGCTTCATAGCTCAGCGGGACACGCCCCCACACTGCCCCTGCACCGACCCGACATGGGGTCAGCAGGCTCAGAGGCGCATCCAGACCTGAGCCAGCTTGGACTTCCCAGGCCCCCGTTGCTTTACAGTCAGAATGGAAAAAAAATTAACAACAACCTTTTTTTTTTTTTATTCCACTTGGGAGCTGAGCAGATTTGCCTTGGAGACGTGTAGATATCTATGAAAACAGTCCTAATTTTAGCCTTGCCACACTTAATGCCAACTTGGAGAGTGCAATACTGGGTCAAGGCCCAGGGAGTAGGGAAGGTGAGCCGGCCGTAGGGGTCAGAACAAGCACGGGGTAGCCAGTGGGAGAGTGTCATCCAAATCTAAGCAGTTGGCGTAACTCTGAAGGGGCTGGAGAGAGGAGCACGTAGCAGCAGCCAGCTAGTGTTTTGAACGAGGGGATCTCCCTCACCTCCCCCTCTCACTCTCTCTGTCTGAATTATGTTCATTTGCCAGCCCGGTTCTAGACCTTCATTTCCACTTCCTCACCTGTGGAATCAGCCACTCCCGCCCTGACTTTCCATCATCTTTACAATTCTGTTGAAGCATTTAAGCAGCTCATTTAGTTTTGAGGTTAATCCATGTCCCCCATTTGTTTCTGAGTCCCTCAAGGTCAGCCACAGCCACTGTTGAGTCTGTAAGCTGAGCTGCCATGGAGCAGCCATGCAGAAAATGAGCAACCAGTGGCATTGGACATGATTGGTAATGTTCGGTGGACCAGACCAGGGCCTGGGCAGCTACTAGAAAGGGATATTAAACGACTATCAGAAAGTCTACAGAAACACTTTTGATGGGAAGAATCTACTTGGATGGGTATGGAAATTGCCTTAATTTGAATAAGGACGTGCTGGGGAGGCCACAGGCAAGAGGTGGCCGTGGCTGGTACAGTGGGTGTTGGGAAGAAACGGATGGAGTTCATTTCACGTAAGGTAGGAGCATTATTTCCATCATGACAACCCCGCCCTGCTAGCTAGGTCAGCTCCTGGCAGAAATCCTTGTAGAATATCAAACACAGGACGAACCTTAGATGTTATCCAGTCCTCTGTGTTTTTAAGCCCAGTATTTAAGACAAGCATTTTTGCATGTATACTTGCTGATTTATTTTAATGTGCATATGTAAACCATATGGCACTAGCCTACCAGACCTGCCATTTCTCAGGTATTACCACTTAGGGTGTGGCAGGTCATGGTAGGTCCCTCTTGTGATTGCAGGGTGGTGTTCCCATTGACTGACTGCCTCTTGCACGCTCCCTACTGGGGATCGAGCCCGCAACCCAGGCAAGTGCCCTGACTGAGAATGGAACGGTCACCTCTTGGTTCCTGGGTCTATGCTCAGCTACTGAGCCACACTGGCCAGGCTCTGGTATGAATTTTTATACTGAATTTCCCCTATGCCTTGTATTCTTTCAGCAGGGTGCAAAGCAACACGGTTTGGTAAAATCGGGAAGGTTGTGTGCAAGGGATTGCAAAGTGACAGGTAGGGACCCATTTCAGCCCCCTTCTGTGAATGATGCAAAGGTCGACCAGATGGCTGTTTTAATGAGAGCATTTGGGGCTGAACCCCATCTCTTCCTCCTGTCGGCCCCTCTTGACATTCTAGATAGAATGCAAACTTGTTCCTACCGAACAGTTGGGCACGTGAAGTTACCGCGTTTGATTCCACTACCATCATTGTGCAGCCAACACGCTCTTCTTTACTACACAGCAAGGGGAGCCCGACACTGAAGGACTGAAATAACCCGCTGAGGCCTTTCCTGCTGGTGAGACGGAGGCCCCAGGGATGTCACATTGCTCCTCCCACGGCACTGAACTCTGTCAGGAGCTGCAAACCCACCACCATGAGCTTTTAGATTTTGGAAACAACCACACTTAGAGACGTGGTGTCATTTGCCTCCTCCTGGGAAGGTTGTTCCCTGTGACCAGTAGAACCAGGGCCAGAGTGCAGGTTGCTCAGGCCAGCGAGCGGGTCTGAGGGCTGGGGCAGGGGTGCCCTGGACCGGCTGGCTCTCTTCGTCCAGGACCAGCGAAAGGCTGTTTGCCAGGTGGGAGAGGTGAGTGCTGGCCTCCCCGTGGGCTCAGCTCTCTCTGGGTGCCGCAGAGGGAGTGAGCGGCCCCAGCTGACAGGGTGAGTCAGAGCGGAGCCCAGAATAGAAGCCGGAGGGCATGTATGTGAATGCCGTCTCTATCCCAGTCCTTCTGGTTGGAGATGATGAAGCGTTTATGCATAACACTGTGTGCAGACTGCTTTAGGATCATTTATTAATGTCGCCAGGCAACTGCTTTCTGAGTTAGCCACACCCACCATAGAGTAATTAACTGAATCATCCTGGGCCCAGTTCACTGTGCATTATCAAGTGTCCTCCCAACTTTCATTTGATCATTTGTTTATTCGAGCACTTTTATTAGGCACCTGTTTGGACATAGCTTCATATTTAGCAGCATTTCCTTTTCATTGCTGGGCATGCTAAATATGTGGCAAAAATGGAAATGGTGGTGTTGCTGTTTGCATCAGAATAGCCCCCATTTATCGAGACTGTGAGCTTGTGAGCTCCATGAGGGCAGGGTCTCTGTGCATTTCTACCTCTCTCATGTCTAGGATCATGCCTAGCACACAGTAAGTGCTCAGTGAACATTCGCTGAACAAAAGAGTGAATGAACTGAATGTGGGCTATGTGTTTGGCCCTCTGGGAGGTGCTTTGCATAAAAATCTTTGATTCTCCTGACCGTACATCCTGCAACTTACCTGTCTGTCCCCCAGGTTAGGTAAGCATTTGCCAGTTGCCATTATTGTAGGCCTTGCATAGCAGATAATCCTCATCTGGACTGAATAATGTGGCTACTGTGTCCCCACTTTATAGAGGAGGAAGTGAGGCACAGAGAGGCTAGGTAACTCGTCTAAGGTTGCACAGACCCTCTAGCTTCAAGCCATTTCTGTGGGCCTCTGCAGCAGCACTGCCTGGTAGAACTCTGTGCATGCCGGAAGTGCCCTGTGTCACGCTGTCCAGCACAGTAACCGCTAGCCACAGCTAGCTACTGCTGAGCACTTGCAGGGTGGCTGGTGCAACTGAGGAACTGAATTTTTAATTCATTTAATTTTAATTAATTTAAAGTTGAATAGCCACCTGTGGCTTGCGGCTACCATTGGATAGCACAGCTCCCTACTATGCTCTCTCTAAATAATGACATCTCACATTAATTGAGTGCTTACTGTATGCTGAGATTTTTCAAATGCTTTACATACAGTAAGCGATTTACGTTAATCCTGATAATCATTAATGGGGGTCAGAGGTTAAGTACCTCTTCCATCCCCAAGATTTTACTTCAAGAAAGCGGTCCAGCCAGTGTGACTTAGTGGTTGATCATTTATCCATGAACCAGGAGGTCACAGTTCAATTCCCGGTCAGGGCACATGCCCTGGTTGCAGGATCCGTCCTCAGTGTGGGGCGCACAGGAGGCAGCAGATCGATGACTTTCTCTCTTTTTTTAAAATATATGTTATTGATTTTTTACAGAGAGGAAGGGAGAGGGATAGAGAGTTAGAAACATCGATGAGAGAGAAACATCGATCAGCTGCCTCCTGCACACCTCCTACTGGGGATGTGCCCGCAACCAGGGTACATGCCCTTGACTGGAATCGAACCTGGGACCTTTCAGTCCGCAGGCTGACGCTCTATCCACTGAGCCAAACCGGTTAGGGCGATGACTTTCTCTTAATATTGATGTTTCTATCCCTCTATCCCTCTCCCTTCTTCTCTCTGAAATCAATAAAAATATATTAAGAAAAAGTGGTGTAGGGTGGTGAGCACACAATAGAGTGTGCAGAGGATGTGTTGTGGAATCGTGCTCCTGAGTCCTGTATAGTTTTGCTAACCAGTGTCACCCACAACTTACTGCCCCGAAAAGTCCAGAAGCCCCTTTCTCTACAAGTGTATCCTTTGTCAGAATGCTAGAACAGCCTTTCCTCCTAGCTGCTTCTGTGGGGGTCTTCTCCTTTCTGTGAAGCCCCTGCGCCCTGCCCTCAGGTCACGTAAAACTTAACATCTAATTAAATGTGTGCACTTTCCGCCTGTTAATCTGTCTTCTGTCCCCTCATTTCACAGGCCCGGCCTCTGAATCTAAGAGAGTAGAGGAAGCTGTCCCTCCCGTTATAGTGCCACCTACTAAGTGCTTTCCCTGTGCAGTCAGGCCATCTCCGAAGCACTTCCCTTGTTCAGTGACCCCGAGGGGCAGATCCAGCCATTAGCCTCACTCAGCAAAGGCATGAGGCTCTGAGCACTGAAGTCCCTTGTTCAACGTCACAGGGTTGGCAGGAGTCAGTTTGTTTTCAAACCTGGATGCATGTTTCTTTAGCTGTAACTGTTTTTGCAAAACACCACACACCAGTGTAATGTTTACAGGTGTGTGTGTGTGTGTGTGTGTGTGTGTGTATACAATCCCTAATAAGATCTGTGAGGCCTAAGTCAGTATGTATAAGGTAGCAAGGATGCCTCCCACCCCACATAAAAGGAGCTGAAACAAGCTTAGTGTCAGAAGTATGTCCACAGGGGCGGGACTTTGTTTTGTCTTCTGCATCCTCAGAGCCCGCCTTGGGTAGGAAGTAAGTAATCACTGGATGGACAGACGGATGGATGGAAGCGAAATTCCTTCTGCTCTTTGCTCTTAACACTCTACACACCACCCTCCCCCCAAATAACTCTTGGCTCAGCTGAGAACGTAAGTGTGAAAATGAACCTGCTCTCAGCAGGTCCCCAGCTGAGTCCCCATCCACCAGGCAGGAAGGGGCCAGCTGGGTGCCCGACCCAGCCTCTACCGAACCCGCATTTAGATACTGAGTTTGCCTCTTGGGGATTAGTCTACCAAGATGCTCTAAAATTGACTATGAAGTCCATTTGTATCAAATAAAAAAATAAACATCGCATTAAGATAAATAGGTAACAACATGCAGTCACAGTTACCATTATTAATGTCATTAAAAAGTTAAAAGAAACTTGCCCTGGGCGTAGATGACAAGCCACAAGGAATTGGTCAGGAAGCTTTGTCAAATATAAAACAAATTCAAAAACAGAAGTGATTATTAATTACTTTAGCAGCTGCTGGCAACAGCAGCAGCAAAACTCTTGTCGCGGGAGCATCGGTTTCGGTTTCTCAGCGTGAAGGCCCCTGTTTGTCGCTCAAGGGCTGACCTTTCACCCATCTGCTCACATCAGCCCTCTCCCCGATCCTCCTCAGTTTTGAAAAAAAACCACAGTAAACTCCCCAGTGCTCTAATCAAGCAGCCTTCCTCATGTGAAGGGTCACCTTCACCGAAAAGAGGCCACTTGGTAAATTCCAGGAAAGTAAAAATAAAACGTAATGGAAAAGATAGTCTAATCATCAAGGCTAATTATAAAGTAAGTAAACTGCTTTTTCCTCCCTAAGTGTCTCTGGTTGATTAAAAAAAAAAAAAAAAAGATCAATCTAACAAAGTTGGCCTTTGTTACTGGTCTGAAAAAAAACAGCAGGAATCTCAGGGGAGACAGTTGTGACTTGTACTACATATAAAACCAAAGATGTGAGCTTTTTTTTTTTTTAGTGTTATAATGCGCATATTTATTAGCTTTTTTAAAAAATAAATCTTTATTGTTGAAAGTATTACATATGTCCCCCCTTTCCCCATTGACCCCCTCCAGCCTGCTCCTACCCCCACCCCAGGTCTTCAGCACCTTATTGTCTGTGTCCATGGGTTATGCATACAAGGCCCTTGGTTGATTAGCTCCCACCAACCACCCACCCTCCCCTGCTTTCCCTCCAAGATTCCGCACTCTGCTCCATGCTCCCATGTCTCCAGATCCACTCCGTTCATCAGTTTATTTTGTTACTTAGATTCCACATATGAGTGAGATTATGTGATACTTGTCTTTCTCTGACTGACTTATTTCACTTAGCATGATACTCTCCAGGTCCCTCCATGCTGTCTCATAGGAATGTTACAGCCGCATAGTATTCCATGGTATAAATGTACCACAGCTTTTTTATGCACTCATCTACTGATGGGCACTTGGGCTGTTTCCAGATCTTAGCTATTGTAAATTGTGCTGCTATGAATGTAGGGGTGCATACATTCTTTCTGATTGGTGCTTCTGGTTTCTTAGGATATATTCCTAGAAGTAGGGTCACTGGGTCAAATGTCATTTCCATATTTAATTTTTTGAGGAAACTCCAGACTCTTTTCCACAGTGGCTGCACCAGCCTGCATTCCCACCAGCAGTGCATGAGGGCTTCCTTTTCTCTACATCCTCACCAGCACTTGTCCTTTGTTGATTTGTTGATGGTAGCCATATTACAGGTTGAGGTGATACCTCATTGTCGCTTTAATTTGCATCTCTGTGATGATCTGTAACTTTGAGCATTTTTTCAAGAGACCATACAGATGGTCTCTTGGCCATCTGTATGTCCTTTTTGGAGAAGTGTCTGTTTAGGTCCTTTGCCCATTTTTTAATTGGATTGTTTGTCTTCCTGTAGTTAAGTTGTATGATTTCCTTATATATTTTGAATATTAACCCTTTATCAGATGTATCATTGCCAAATATATTCTTTCATACAGTTGGCTCCCTTTTCATTTTGTTGATGGTTTCTTCTACTGTGCAGAAGTTTTTTATCCTGATGTAATTCCATTTATTTTCTCCTTAGTTTCCTTGGCCCTAGGAGATGTATCTGTAAACATATTGCTATGAGAGATGTCTGAGATTTTGCTGCCTATGGCTTCTAGGATTTTTATGGT